TAATCAAAATGAATAGAAATTTTATATGCAATTCAAATACATAAATCTTAATAATAGCTTGTTAATAAATTCAAATAGTGAATTGCAATTAACTCTTTTTTGAGTGAAATAAATCCACAGCTAAACACTCTCTCTCCAGCATCTTCATTCTACGTTTTTTTGTGTGTGATCTCTTCTTTATTTCAGCAATATTTCTGGCCACTATGATGTTGGTGAAACCGGACATAATAGAGGGAAGGATGGGAGTCGTTCTCTACATCCTACAGGTTCGCCAGAATACATAAAAACTCTTAGTAAACGAATCACATTACCCCTGCATGCCTACTGTAACATGTTCCTGTTCGTCTTCTCGACAGGCCTTCACCTCTGCCTCTCAGGGTCTGTTGAACTGCCTGGTTTACGGCTGGACGCAGCAGCACTTTCGCTCTCTCAGTGGCGGCAGCAGCACCGTACGGGACGCCAACACCCAGACTCCCCTGCTGCGCTCCCAGAAACCAAACTACGCCGCTTTGCGCTCTGCTGCATCACTCACCAATTTTGTCTGACAGAAAGACACGCAAGATTCCCTGTAATGCATTGGGACGATACTTTAAACCAAAGCGACCGAGGGATCAAACCCATGACTTGGCTGTTGCGAGCGTCATGCTCTACACATTGAGCTACCTGAGCAAGTACAGCACACACTAACTGAAGACTGAAACAAGCAAAGTATTAGTGTGGTCCGTCATGCATGAAGTTTGGTCTTGATGAAAACAGCCACTGCAGAAGCGTTTGTTTTGCTGTTGTATAACCAACACCAGACGGCAGATAAGGACGCTCTGCTGAAAAGGGAGCTGAATGTTTTTTTTCTTTTCTACTTTGGTTTTGTTATGAGATTTCAGATGCTGCACCTGCTGCTAGTTTAGCTGAGAAACCCACTTCAAGAAACCGTTTCATCATCCAGCCTCTACAATATAGCTTTGGCAATGACATGCAATGATCGAGACTTTCAGATCACGACGCACTGCTGAACTGTCGAAAAGGGAAAGACCGAAGGGGGATTACGGCTAGAGGGAAATAGCTCTGAAACAGGATCTGAGAGGACAATGCTGCTGCTTTCCATCCAAAAAAACAAAAACAAAACAAAAATGTGCTGAACCCACCCACACATAGCGGTTAGCATTGCAGGTATCAATTACTGCTGAAGGAGCATGAAACAAATCATTTATCCTTCATAAACAATACTTCTCAATAGATATTATTATTAAAGAATAAGGAATAAGGAAAAGACTCATACGAACCTGTCAAGATAGTAGCAATGAATCATGAATAAGCATTTTGCTTAAAATGAGGTCATGGGAAAGCTGGAAATATAAGGGGAATATTTAGAAATTGTGATTTTCAGGTTTGGAAAAGTTATGAAATGAATGAACTCTTAAAGGGATGGTTTCACCCCCAAAGTAATATTCTTTCATCTTTTACTCAGCCTCATGTCGTTCCAAACCCACAACACTTTTGTTTAGCTTTGAAACACTTGATATTTTTAAGTAACCTGAGATATTTCTGTCCCTCCATTGAAAGTCCACGCAGCCAAAACTCTGACGATTCAAAAAGTTCATAAAGGCATCGTACAAGAAATCCAGTAATCCAAGCTTTCATAAGAGACACGATCAGTAGATGTAACATTTAATTTAGGCTTTTATTCTCATATATACACATTGATCAACGCACATCAGAGCACATCCAATGTATGCTCAAATGCGCTTGTGTGAAACGCAGAACAAACCTCATATGAATGACTTTTACAATGTCTTTATGAATTTGAGTCATCAGGGTTTTGGTTGTGTGACCTTTCAGTGAAAGGACAGAAATCGCGCAGGTGTCATTAGAATCATGATCTTCATCGAAGTTTCAAAGGTGTACAAAAAGTCTTGTAGGTTTCAAGCGACATGAGGGTGAGTAAATGATGACGGTGTTTTCATATTTGGGTGAACTATCCCTTTAACATGTCTGTGGGAATTTCTATAGTTGGTAACATTTTCCAGTTATGCTTTGTTTTAAAATATGTTTTTGACTAGAAACTGGAGTGCAATCTGGAGTGCAAAGTCCTTGTTCAGTAATTACAAACAGCTGGAAAAGTCATTGGTTAAAAATGGTTAAAAAATTGGTTAAAGGGAATCCTATTACACCTATATATATGGTGTCATAAATGACATGTCGCACTGGTTTCCCCTTTTAGTTTGGCTCACATTTCTCCCATGACGGAATGACTTTAATGAAGTATTACTTTCATTTCCGAGAGCATTTTATATGCATGTGTGTACATAGTCTTTCCACATTAAATGCTGTTGAAAATGTATGAAATATATTTTAATAAAAATGTATTAGGTGTTGATATTTTGGGGTGGTTGATTTCAGACTGACTGATGTTGAGCTGTTTGCAGATTAGCTTTTTAGACAAACCTGTGAAAAAATGTGACACAGAAAACCCCTCAGTATCTGGATTACAGATTGATTATAACTGCCCATGTGGAGATCAGGAAGAGAAATTTGTACAAGTGTAATCCTGCTCTAATTCGCTCACTTTTGTTTAGCTTTGAAACACGGATGGAGATATTTTTAAGTAACCTGAGATATTTCTGTCCCTCCATTGAAAGTCCACGCAGCCAAAACTCTGACGATTCAAAAAGTTCATAAAGGCATCGTACAAGAAATCCAGTAATCCAATCTTTCATAAGAGACACGATCAGTAGATGTAACATTTAATTTAGGCTTTTATTCTCATATATACACATTGATCAACGCACATCAGAGCACATCCAATGTATGCTCAAATGCGCTTGTGTGAAACGCAGAACAAACCTCATATGAATGACTTTTACAATGTCTTTATGAATTTGAGTCATCAGGGTTTTGGTTGTGTGACCTTTCAGTGAAAGGACAGAAATCGCGCAGGTGTCATTAGAATCATGATCTTCATCGAAGTTTCAAAGGTGTACAAAAAGTCTTGTAGGTTTCAAGCGACATGAGGGTGAGTAAATGATGACGGTGTTTTCATATTTGGGTGAACTATCCCTTTAACATGTCTGTGGGAATTTCTATAGTTGGTAACATTTTCCAGTTATGCTTTGTTTTAAAATATGTTTTTGACTAGAAACTGGAGTGCAATCTGGAGTGCAAAGTCCTTGTTCAGTAATTACAAACAGCTGGAAAAGTCATTGGTTAAAAATGGTTAAAAAATTGGTTAAAGGGAATCCTATTACACCTATATATATGGTGTCATAAATGACATGTCGCACTGGTTTCCCCTTTTAGTTTGGCTCACATTTCTCCCATGACGGAATGACTTTAATGAAGTATTACTTTCATTTCCGAGAGCATTTTATATGCATGTGTGTACATAGTCTTTCCACATTAAATGCTGTTGAAAATGTATGAAATATATTTTAATAAAAATGTATTAGGTGTTGATATTTTGGGGTGGTTGATTTCAGACTGACTGATGTTGAGCTGTTTGCAGATTAGCTTTTTAGACAAACCTGTGAAAAAATGTGACACAGAAAACCCCTCAGTATCTGGATTACAGATTGATTATAACTGCCCATGTGGAGATCAGGAAGAGAAATTTGTACAAGTGTAATCCTGCTCTAATTCGCTGCTAAATACTGCCACCTGCTGAAACAATCCAACATTATTATATACGGCTCTCTCGAACTGATTTCATTAGGTAAGTAACTTATGTATTATTTATATAGCAACAGTGTTTATACATGGAGGACCAAACCTGCAGAAATTAATAATTAATGAATTAATTAATAAATGTAACAATAGGAAAATAAATATACATACACAAAAGAGACAGAAATATAAGAATAAATAAAATAAATAATAAAAAAATGTGAAACATAAATGTATAAATAAATACAAGTGGGAATAAATACATATAACAACAAATAAATGTAGAATTAAATAAGCATAAAATAAATTCAAGAATAAAAATTAAAGAATAAAAAATATTTCAATTTTTCTTTTCTCTTTGGAGTGTTACAAGCTGTTCGTGCATAGATAAGATCCCTAAAGTTGCAAAGACTAAAGTCTCAAATCCAAAGAGATATTCTTTATAAAGGTTAAGTCAACCACGCCTACCTAAAACG